AAAAAAAAAAACTAGAAAATACAATTAGCTTAAGAGAACACAGAAAAAAGAAGAGCATATTATTTAAAATAAACTAGAATATATTTTCATTTGAGGAACGATTTTCATTTCTCAAGCATTTCTGATATTAGCTTTGGAATCTCCTTGTGAGAAGATAAGAGGGCAGGCTTGGAAACATATGCTGACTTTTAATTCTGGAACTCACTACCTCCTCTGGGGTTAGTGCCAGGAACCCCAGAGTCTTCAAATCTAGTAGGTCAGGGTATTGGCAAATCAGAGTGTTAGTGAGAATGCCGCCGACAGTTGATCTGGTGCCAATTCCAGTACACACTGGTAATTATGGCAGGCTGATGTCAGTTTTCCAAAATGTAAAAACATGGAAGGTCTTCCAGCAACGTACAAGGTCAGCTTGATTTCTTCACATGGGCCCATTTGTTAAGTAGGCCTATTTCTAATGATCAGCTTCATTATGTGTGTTGCCTATGCTCAAACCTCTAGAAAAGGGGTGCTTCATGCAGGACACAGTTCCTTTCCACCTACATGGTATGGGAGAGACAGATCATCTTCTTCCTTAGGCCATGATGGAAGAACAGGGAATGATTTTCTGTTTTGGCTGTTGTTCTGTTTATCGTCCTATTTTACAAAACTGATTCTGACCTGGAGGAAAAAAAATAGATGTTAAGAATGACTTGGCTTTCCTGTGGTCCTGTTTTGAATGTTTGGCAGTAACTTATCTGTCTTTTTGAGATACTGTCCTCTGTAAACTCCCATTCATGTTCCTGAGAAGTCTCTTGCTGGAGTGCCCTGCAGGACAAAGGCTCTCCATGCTCATTTTACGTGCAGAAGAGTTTTTCTTTGGAGGAGTTTAAGTGCGTGCCCAACCCTCCTCCCTGGGCAGGTACTGCAAGACCTGGATACTTCCGTCCCTGTTTCTGTCAAAGCAACCCAAGAATGATGGACTTTGGATGGGCACAGTGGCTCGCGTCTGTAATCCCAGCACTTTGGGAGGCTGAGGCAGTCAGATCACAAGGTCAGGAGTTCGAGGCTAACTTGGCCAACATGATGAAACTTGGTTTTTACTAAAAATAAAAATTAGTGGGGTGTGGTGGTGGCCGCCTGTAATCCCAGCTACTCGGGAGGCTGAGGCAAGGAGAATCACGTGAACCCAGGAGGCGGAGGTTGCGGTAAGCTGAGATCGTGCCATTGCCCTCCAGCCTGGGCAACAAGAGTGAAACTGCTACTCAAAAAAAATAAAAAAGAAGAAGAATGATGAACCTCATAGAGTCTCTGGATCACCCCTGTCCCAATATAAGGCAGAGTTATAAGATGAGGATTAACAAGTACTGTTGGTTAGGAAACAAAAACACTTCAGGAAAGAAGGGTGGACTCTTAGTATAAATGTCATGCTTAAGACTTAATGGCAATTTGGCCAGGCATGGTGGCTCACGCTTGTAATCCCAGCACTTTGGGAGGCTGAGGCAGGCAGGTCACCTGAGGTCAGGAGTTCGGGACTAGCCTGGTCAACTTAAAGGGGAAGAGTAGTGCTGGGGAAACAAGATGTGAAATAACCAAATTGCTTTCTGCTTTTTGCTTTTTCACAGGTGCAAACCCTATTTTAAATGATTTAACGACTTTTGGGTGATCAGGTCAGTTGAAAGAGAATCATCTGGTTAGTGCAGACAGGTTTCACAAAGAAACATTAAATTAGGAGAAGAGGCCCAAGCCCAGCTGGAAGTGAGCGTGACAGGTGACTAAGAAATAAGACAGATTTATGTGGTTTCAGTGTCTAAATGCTCTGGCCTCAGGTGAGACTAATCAAAAGAAAAATTTCCTCAAGAAAGTGAGTTTCTTTGTTTCTTTTGTGTTGTTTTGTTTTGAGACAGATTCTCACTCTGTCACCTAGGCTGGAGTGCAGTGGCGCCATCTCACTGCAACCTCCACTTGCCGGACTCAGGTGATCCTCTCACCTCAGCCTCCTGAGTATCTGGGACTACAGGCACATGCTACCATGTCTGGCTAATTTTTATATTTTTGTAGAGATGGGGTTTCACCATGTTTCCCAGACTGGTCTCGAACTCCTGGGCTCAAGCAATCCACCTGCCTCAGCCTCCCAAAGCGTTGGGATTATAGGTGTGAGCCACCACACCAGCCAATGTCTTTGTTTTAAAGTTATCACTCATGTGAATTTGAATTTTAATCTGCTACTTACTAAATTCTCCCCTTCTTCTGTGGGGCTTCTGGGGAGCAGCGGTTAAATCTATTTTTGGGCTTTTACTCACTATTATTTATTTATTTATTTTTGAGACAAAGTCTCTGTTACTCAGGCTGGCATGCAGTGGTGCCACCTCAGCTTACTGCAACCTCCACCTCCCGAGTTC